TATATAAAAAATCGATGTCATGCAACTTTACTTATTTCCAATTGGAATCCATTTCGATTTATTTCCTCATAATAAATGTCCAGTTTATTATTTTAATAATTGTTACTACGAAGTAGATGATTAATTGATTATTATTATTATTTATTATTAATTATCTATATGTCTTCTTAATTTACAGTAAATAATTAAATAAAACTCTATAATTATAATCAACACATCATAAAAGAACAGCAAGGAAACGTTGCCATTGCATAATAACGAATAAAATAAAATAAAAAAAAGTCAAAGGATTTAATATAAATTTCAAAAGATATATATAAGTTAACGCTTTTGTACTTTTGAATGCCGCGCCACGCCTGCGCGACGATCGATCGACTCTCGAGTGCCCTGAATATATTCCTTATCGCGCGAAATCGTTCTCGCCGATCGCTATGACGTTGTCAACTTTCGCAGTTTTGAATTTTCAGAACTTACGCAAAACAGTTTCCGTAATGGCGTCGCGTGCTGACCACGAATCGCGGAGCCGCGTAAAAGAAGTTCTCGCCTCTTTTCGCGTTGAGTCCTCACCGACGATCGTCGCGTGTCGTTTCGGATTGTATACGTGAGTCAGCTTCCGTGTTAGTCAAACTTGCGTCGCGTACTGACTCGAGTAGACGCGTTTCGTGTGTTAAAATGTCGCGTACCGGCAACGAAAAGGAAGTGATCTCGCGCCGGTCGGTTACTTCTTCAGTCGTGATGCGTGTGCGAAGTCACGATCCTGCCATCCGGGGGATGAGGCTCATGCCGAGCGGCCGTTCGAAAATAGGCAAGCCGGCTATCGACGTCGCATATTATTGCGTCTATTTTCGACTCCATGTGAGTGCGCGCGCGCGCGGCAAACCAACCGATCCTCTCAAGCAAGCAAAAATCAAAAGTTTCTTTATTTACAGCGCCGAATCGATAAGGGCGATCCAGATGAACTCTCGTTGCGGCCATCATGTTCCAGCATATCCTCGTTGCGTTTCCTGATATAACAGCTCATTTATTGTGGATTGGTGAGTGCGTTTTTCGCTTTTTATCTTTACCTAATTCGGGCATAACAATGGCAAACCTTTCGATGTTCCTGATATTATATTGTCGCGATATGTCTATAAATTACAAGTAATGAGTTCAGTAGAAAAAAATGGCTGTGCAATTGTTGTAAAATTCTTTAATATGATTGATTCTTGCTCTTAATAGTTTCTCACGAATCTAATCATTGCAATCATATTAAGCATACAACAGTAAAAAAGTTTATTTCTTTCTTGTATGCCAATGTTATTTGTAAAGTCTTAAATCTTTTGGAATTGATTCTAGCATGAAATTTCCTGTGTTTATATGATTGCAAAGAATTTTGAATTCATAAGAAATGCGCGTGAATTTTTGAAATCATTAGTTAGAATGTACTGTCGGTAAATGTTATGAAGTGTAGATAATTTAATTTTCTGTAAATATTGATCAAATGTCGATATGGAATACAATTTTTTTCGACTGTCGATAATTTATCGATTTGTGGTATATCATTGAGAGAGAGAGAGAGAGCGAGAGAGAGAGAGAGAGAGGGGGGAGGGAGGCGAGAATGTGATTATTTTTTATGATTAAATTAGAAAATAATTTTAATTGACATGTAAAATATGTTTAGT